CTCCTCTCATCCTTCCTCCTCCTCCTCCTCCTCCTCCTCCTCCTCCTCCTCCTCCTCCTCCTCCTCCTCCTCCTCCTCCTCCCCCACCTCGCCCTTCTCCTCCTCATCGAGCGAACGTTTTGGGCACCGGGGCCAGCCCTCGACGGCCCGGAGGCCCACGCGCGCAGGGGAGGAGCCAGCTCCTGGGAAGTTTCTGCATACAGTCGGGGCGTTGACCTAAGGAACCCCAAATCAGGAACGAGGCCCCTCTTCTCCATGAGTTAAGCTTCGATTCCCCATCGGAAACAAAAGGAAAACCTGAGGCAAGCTGCGAAACACTTAAGGAACGCGGAGCCCCTCCCCAACGAAAAGGGTTCCTTCTTCAGGGCCCCGACTGTAACCATTCAGGGCTACGCAGCCCGATTGGAAGGCCATTCAGCAGGATTGGGCAGGCATGGGCCGGATTAAGCCAGCTCGCGCGGGATTCTACGGTTTTCGGCCAGGGGATGCGCGAACCTCCCAGGCATTCCATCCCAAGCCATGTGACTGATGGGGCCGGCCGTGCCCCAGAGCAAACAGCACCTCACCGAGACGGGAGGATCCCTGCCGCAGCCACCCGCGGTGCATCGTCCCTCAGCCCCTGGCGACGCGGACAAATCGCAGCGGGCGTTGTTTGTACGTTTCGGCCTCTGGAGGCTGTCTCGCGGCCTCGGAAGCGTCAAAAGACAGTTCAACACAAAAAACTGGCCTTGAGGGAAAGGGTCCAGGGCTCTGGGGGCCCACGTCGCAACAACGAATGCGATATCGGATGCCTGGGATTGGCGGCGCCTGCCTCGTCGTACGGGCACGCGGCGACACCGCCGATGCACTTGCAGCGCACGTGCACGCACTGGGGCTCCTTGTGCGCGCACCACTCCTGCGGCGAGCCGCCCGCGTGGGCCAGGGCACAAGTGAGCACGGGAGCCGCCGAGGGGAGAACGAAGGGTGACGGAGGGCCGACGAGACGTGGGAAGCAGGGGGGTGGCGTGTGGGGCAGGCTGGAGTGCAGGGAGGTGGCGGGTGCAGCACTGGCAAGCGGGGGTGTGCATGGGGCGCGGGGGACGGAAGCTCGGCCCGGATCAGTCCGCATCGAATCGGCACATCGGACCCAACAACTTGTGAAGAACGGGGCCGAAACCGAACCAGATCGGCCGCGCCAGGATGCACATCGGCGCCATGCAGGCATCGGGCCGCACCGCATCGTCAGAACATCGGGGCCGGATCGCGTCGGGCTGGCTCGATGGGATCGGCACGGACCCCGCGCTCGGGAGGAGGGGAGAGGCCACGGCAAGCAAGGCGGCAAGCACCTACGACTGGGCACCCGACGCCACGCCCTGCTGACGGCGTGGGCGCCGCGCACCTCCCGACCACCCGCCAGATCAGTGTATGTTTTCCTACGGCGAGGACATCGGATAAGGCGCCATTGGACAAGGAATCGTGGAAGGGTCTGGAAGCAGGTCGAACTCCCAACGTGCATGGACTGGCCATGGGGCAGCACCGCCGCCCCCATGAGAGAAGGAATCCTCCAACATCTGACGCCCCCCCCCACATGACTTCACGAACGCCCCCCCCCGCGCATCTGGACGGCGACGACGACGACCACGACGACGCTGGCGACGACGGCGACGACGACGACGCCAGCAACGAGGATGACGACGGCGACGGCGACGGCGACGGCGACGGCGACGGCGACGGCAACGACGACGACGACAACGCACACATCCCGCATGGCTCTCTCTGGCGGACCCCTGGGGCCCGAAGCGGGCCCCGGCCCCGGCGGAGGCCCAGGAGTGGAGCGAAGCACCTGCGTCCCGAGTCCGCCGTGGCGCCCAGGAGGAGCCTCACGGAAGGTCCTCCTCCTCCTCCCCCCTCCCCCCTCCCCCCTCCACAATTACTTAATATGAATACTACTCTCCTCCTTCCCCTGATGACGGGTTGGGAGTGTTCGCCCCCCCCCGCGTACTATTTTTTTACACACAGAATTCCCCGGGGTTGGGTTTTCGCCTGCATTTTTTCCAAAATGCTGCTCTCGCTGAGGCGCCGGCCTCATTTTCGGGCCCCGCTCGTTCCGAATCGTGCTCCCGCTGCAGCGCTGGCCTCATTCCCGTGCTCCCGCTCGTTCCGAATCGCGCTCCCGCTGCAGCGCTGGCCTCATGTCCGCGCTTCCGCTCGTTCCGAATCGTGCTCCCGCTGCAGCGCTGGCGTCATTTCCCGTGCCATGCCACGGCATGCAATGCAATGCTAGGTTGCGTTCCGCTGCGCGATGCCATGCCTTCAGCTGAAACTGTGATATGCAGTGCTTAAGTGCCACGTCGTGCTATGCCAGGCTACGCTTTTATCTGCAACGCCATGATATGCAATGTTATGTTCGGGGCCGCTGTGCGATGCCATGCTTTGCGTTGCAAAGCTTTGCGATGCAATTATTCACTACGCCACGCCACGCCATGCTGTGACATACTACGCTTTGCGGTGCTCTTCTACGCCATGCCATGCCGTGCTCTACAATGCATCGCGTACCCTTTCGGGATCATTGCCCTGCTCGAACCAACTGTGCGAGTAGAGAGGGGACCAGAGGCGTGCTAAGATCTCCGGTAACTGCTTAACAATTTTCTAGTTCGCGCGCGCGGGGCGGCCCCTGGGGGTCCCCGGACGAAAAGTACCCTGACCAGGTCCCTGGGCAACTCCCTGTCGGGGATGGTTCTGCTCCTGGGCGCCGCCCTCAGGGCCTCCCAAGAGCCCCGAGAAGAGCTCAGAGACCCCCAAGAGGCCCTCAATATGGTCCAACAGAGCTCCAAGACGCCATAATATCGCTCCAAAACGCCTAAGATGGCTCCCCGACGCACCAAGAAGCCTCCAAGAGCCCTGCCAAGAGGTCCCCAAGAGGCAAAATTCATAGATTTCCCTCAGGTTTTTGAAGGATTTTCGCATTCTCGCCTTTTCCGCTTCCCGACGCTCCAAGACGACCAAAGAGGCCCCAAAGATCGCCCCAAGACGGCCCAAAAGGCCCCCAAGAGGGCTTCAAAACGGCCCAAGAGCGCCCCAAGACAGCCCAAGACGCCCCCAAGACGGCCCAAGAGGGCCCCAAGAACGGCCCCAGAGGGGGAACACGAAACAACATTTCGAGCCCTCGGCCCTAAGAAGCCCCCACGAGGCCCCAAGAGGCCCCTAAGAGGCCCCCAAGAGGCCCCCACGAGGCCCTCAGGAGGCCCCAAGAGTCCCCCAAGCGGCCCCAGGAGGCCCCCAAAATGCCCCCCCGACCGAGCACGCAAGCAAGTGCAAGCGATGCTACAATGTGCTCTCCTTTCGGTAGACTCCCAACGGGGCCCCTACAGACTTGCAACAAGCGTCAAGAACCTGCCCAAAAAGCACTGTCCAGGAGCGTTCACAAGTGCCGCGAAGAAGCCCTCCTTACGCCGGAAAGCCCGGAAAGCCGGGTGGGGTGAGCTGTTCTTCTCACCACCGCGCCCTCTCACACAATGGCTTCCGCACGCCGCCCAGAGCGCGACGTTCGGCTCATGCCCCCAGAACGCTCCAGGAGCGCGCCAAAACGGCACCGGAACGCCCCCGAAACAATCCAAGCGGCCTCAAGTCGCCGAACAATCGTTCCAAATCGCCCAAGATGACCTCAAAATTGCCGTCGAGGCCGCCAAGAAGCCCCAAGAGAGCCTCAAGAGGCCCTCCAAGACGGCCATTACAATCAAAAATCGTCCCATTCCCAGAGGAACATGTACACTTCCCGCATGAACGGCGTTTCGAATTTCACAGCGCCTCAGACTACGCAAATAGCCCCCAACATCGCCCCGAGACAGCCCAACAATCCGCTAAAATCGGCCCAAGACGGCCCAAGATAACCCCAAGACGGCACAAGAGAGCACCAAGACCGCCCAATAGGCGCCCAAAGGGGGATTCTGCCCCTAGGAGCACCTCAGAAGCCACCAACATCCCGCCAATAAGTCCCCCAAGACGCCCCAAGAACCATCCAAGAAGCCCAACAAGAAGCCCCAACGACCCCCAAACGGCCCTTACGGGGCCTCAAGAGGCTTCAACACTGCCTCCAAGAGGTTCCCGAGACGCCTGGCAAAATAACCCCCAAAGCGCCGCATTGACATCAGGCCCTCGGGCAAACGGCAGACATGAGACTGTATGGGCCGGCGGAATGAGCGAAGCGATTAAATAATACTCTCCGTCTTCCCCTGATGACGGCTTGAAAGTGTCCGACCCCCCCCCGCGTACTGTTTCTTAACACACAGGTTTCCCCGGAGTTGGGTTTTCGCCTGCATTTGTTTTCAAATGCTGCTCTCGCTGAGGCGCCGGCCTCATTTTCGGGCCCCGCTCGTTCCGAATCGTGCTCCCGCTGCAGCGCTGGCCTCATTTCCGTGCTTCCGCTCGTTCCGAATCGCGCTCCCGCTGCAGCGCTGGCCTCATGTCCGCGCTTCCGCTCGTTTCGACTCGTGCTCCCGCTGCAGCGCTCGCGTCATTTCCCGTGCCATGCCACGGTATGCAATGCAATGCTAGGTTGATGCTACGCTTTGCGGTGCTCTTCTACGCCATGCCATGCCGTGCTCTACAATGCATCGCATACCCTTTCGGGATCATTGCCCTGCTCGACATCCGACTGTGCGAGTAGAGAGGGGATCTGCGCCATAGTAAGGGATGGGAGGGAGGGGTAGGATGTCAGATATGACGCGAGCGCACCTAGCTTGCCCCTCCCCCCTCCTCCTCCTCCTCCTCCTCCTCCTCCTCCTCCTCCTCCTTCTCCTCCTCCTTTTCCTCCTCCTCCTCCTCGAGGAGGAGCCTCCGGGAGGGAAAAGCATCGCTGCGAGCGGGACCGCTCGGAGGTCCGCGCGGCCTCCCCGGAGCGGCGCGCTCGGCCCTGCCCCCAGCGCGCAGGCGAGCGCGCGCGGCCACGAGGGGGTCCAGCGCAGGCCCAACAGATCCGCGCGGGCCCTCGAGCGTTTCGGAGAGCAGACGACCCAGCAACGTCACGCCCGTCGGGCGGCGCCATCAGCACCCTGCTGCTTCAAGACGACTCGGCTCTTTCTGGGCCAGGAAGCGAAGGAGTCGCACGCACGGCTGGAGAGGCAGCGTGCGTATCCTGGATACCCCCTATCCCTCCCGAACAATTTGTGCTGATGCCCGTGGTTCTTCCTCGGGGATTGGACCCGGGTCAATGCCAACCCCGGTCGGTCAGGCCTTGCAGGATCCTGCAAACTCCCGCAGGATCCTGCAGAATCCCGCGCGCTAATGATCCTGGTCAGTGCGCCCCTGGCCCTGCAGGATCTTGAAAGATCCGGCGCCCTGGCTGACCCGTCTTCGGGGGCGCGCAAGCATGGATCGGGGGAGGTGCCCTCCCCAAAAGTGCGGCCCGTATACCGCCTCGCTCGGCGGCGGAAATCCGCGGTTTCCCCTGGAAACGGGAGCCGTCGCTATTCCGCGCCCCCCTTGATCCATGCTTGCGGTCGCCTGACGCCTGCACTCGCCCCCGTCTCGGGGCTCCCCCACGGGCCTTCCTCCTCTGAGGCCTGGGCCGGCGCGCCGCAAGGCGCTCCTCCGTGGTGCTGCAGGACAGCCGGCCCTTGCTGCACTGGAACGCGCTCCGGTGGCGATCCTGCAGGTCCGGCGGGCGGCGGGCGGAGGCGGAGGAGAAGGAGGAGGAGGAGGAGGAGGAGGAGGAGGAGGAGGAGGAGGAGGAAGGAGGAGGAGGGAGGAGGGGGAGGGGAGGAGGAGGAGGAGGAGGAGGAGGAGGAGGGGAGGAGGAGGAGGGGGAGGGGAGGAGGAGGAGGGAGGAGGAGGAGGAGGAGGAGGAGGAGGAGGAGAGGAGGGGGGAGGGGGAGGAGGAGGGGGAGGGGCGGGCGGGCGGGGCCGCCCGCAGAGGCCTCGCGCCGCAGCGACGAGAAGGAGCGGGCCTCACGCACGACGGCCCCGCGGCCCCGCGCGGTGGCCCGCGCGGGCCGCCCGCGCGGCACGCTGCACTGGGAGCCGAGGGCGCTGCAGGCGCGGCCTTGCGCGCGGAGCCTGCGCGCGCGCACGTCGGCGCAAGCGAACCCGCGTTGCTGCGTCGCTCACCTCGCTCCGCGGAGGAGGGGGAGGAGGAGGAGGAGGAGGAGGAGGAGGAGGAGGAGGAGGAGGAGGAGGAGGAGGAGGAGGAGGAGGAGGAGGAGGCGGCGGAGGCGGAGGCGGAGGAGGGCGTGGAGGAGAGCCACCTGCGAGAGAAGGAGGTACAGGACTGTCCAGGGCAAGGAAGACGCACCCTCCTCACTGCTCCTTCCGGCTGCTTCTTTCAGGCCGCAGCTCAGGCTTCGAGCAGCCATCCGGGACGAGCCTGGCCTCCCCGCCACCGTCCCCGACGAGGCGCAGCCGATGGAGAAACCGCCGTGGGCCCCTCCGAGAACTTCCAGGATTACCCCCGCTGGGAGAGCCTCCGCCCCTCCTCACCTATTGCTCCTGCCGACGCCGTCCTCCTCCCCGCTCCTCCCTCCCCTCCTCCTCGCCCAGACCTGCGACGGAGTGACCCAGAGATCGCGACCCTCGCCCCGCCCTGGGGCTGATCATCTTCCATCCCCGCAGCGGCTTCGGCCTGTCCCCGGGCCCGAACGCGGCTCCTGCGGAGGCGGCCCCGGCGACACGCTGTGCCCTGCAAACGCATACCGTGTCGCTCCGCTTCGCGGGGCGGGAGGCTGGGAGCAGCTCGGCGCGTGGGCGCCTGGGGACCGACCGCGAAGTGCGTAGCGTGCCGCTGCGAGGCGCGGTGGGCGAGAGCCGGACGAGCGACACGCCATCCCAAAGTTCACGGGACGTTCACGCTAGGGGACTGGGCCGTGGTCAGCTGCCGCGCCGAAGTGAGCCAGAACCAGCGGCGCGACACGCTGACCAACAGTTCCCGGCCGCAGGGCACAAACGTCGGGAGTGACCGAGTCGATCAGATCGAGGGCAAGGTCTCCAGGGGCCTGCGGAAATCTCCCCCAAGGCCGTCCAGGAACACCCAAACATCTCGATCATTACTCCTTCCACAAGCAGCAGCCCAGGAGCCGAAATTCGCTGATCATCAGAAGCTGCTCAAAGCTGCTTGATCACAGGCACCTGCCATGATCATGTCGCCGCAATCGTTGGCATGGCACTCCGGTTGGCCACTGTCTTGGCCAAGTTTGAATGCTGCCGCATGCACTTCCTCCTCCCCCTCTCCAACGGGGCCAGTCGGCGTCGGATCGGAAGGCCGGATTTGCCCGGAGCATGCTAGGGCGACGCAATCTATACATATCCACTGCTCCCTGGCCAGGCCCATCCTGAACACAGCAGCTGTGTATACGCCACGCCATCCTGGTTTGGCCGGGAGGGCGTATACACAGCTCCTGGGTTCAGGATGGGCCTGGCCAGGGAGCAGTGGATATGTATAGACTTCGTCCCCGGACATGCGTCGGATCGGGCTGTATCGGCCCCAGTTCGGCATCGAATCGGCTCCGCCGCGCCCTGATGCACAACGGCCCACGGCGCCGCACCAGATCGAGCCGGCCGGCATCGGCAGCGCAGCGGTCCGGTCGGGTCGAGATGGGCCCTGCCCCCGGAAGAGCACCTTGCGCTGGACCTGGGAGGCGGAGGAGGAGGAGGAGGAGGAGGAGGAGGAGGAGGAGGAGAGGAGGAGGAGGAGGAGGAGGAGGAGGAGGAGGGGGAAGGGGAGGAGGAGGAGGAGGAGGAGAGGAGGAGGAGAGGAGGAGGAGGGAGGAGGAGGAGGAGGGGGAGGAGGAGAGGAGGAGAGGAGGAGGAGGGAGGAGGAGGAGATGAATGAGGAGGAGGAGGAGGAGGAGGAGGAGGAGGAGGAGCAGATGGGCCATGGCGCGGGTCGCTGGCGGCCGGTCGGGGTGAGCCGGGCGGCTCCGGAGCGCGCCCTCGGCGAGGCGCAGCGGCCAGAGCGCCCCCCGAGGCCAGAGAGACCCCCCCAGGCAGGGCGTGGTCGTCGTGGGAGGGGGGGCAGAGGGGCTCTCGAATTAGAGGTTACCTTGGCCGTGCCCCTTGGGCAAAGTTCTCCTCCCCCTCCTCCCCCTCCGACGCCTGGGGGCGAGGGGCTTCCGTCTCGTCCCATCGCTGTTGTCCGAGGGAACACGAGCTGAAGATTGGTCCTCTGAGCCGGGCACCTCCCGGGCTGCGCGCCACAATCTCGCCATCGCTCGGACATCCATTCCCTGTGTGTTTTTCGGTTTCGCGCGTGGCTTTTTCGCCAAATGAGCAAGGATGCTCCTCGATGGTCCTCGCCGGAGGAAAGATGCACACGTCCGAGCGATGCCAAGACCCAGGAGCAGACGGCAACGTCTGAAGACTCGGCCCGAACCGAGCTGACGACGGACGAGGAGCGCTGAAGGATCGAAAGGGCCCGTGCACGGCGGCGGGCGCGACTGCGGGGGAGCGATAGGGGGTCACCGAGTCGGGGGAGGAAGCATGGTCGTGGGCTCGGCGATACGTCGCCGATGGATCGGCGATCGGCACCCGATCCCGAATCCGCATGGTCCTGGGCGGGGCAGGATCTCGGCGACGACCGGGCGATTGGGGCTCGATGTGTCCCCTGTGAGCCTGTCCACCCCCGACGTCGGGAGGAGGGGCGAGGCCACTTCAAGAACGGTGGGCTTGCGCCGTCGGGCAATCCAGTATCGGATCGGATCGCGTCGGCCGAGATCGGCATCGAATCGGACCGAGAGGGGCCGTGCACGGTGGCGGGCGCGAGCCGCCGCCGAGGTCATAGACGTTCTCGGCGGATTTCGGGGGTACCCTTGAGGGCTTTCTGGCTCTTGCCGCGGGTGCAGCCATCTCTCCTCCTCCCGCTCCCCGTCCTCGGTCTCGTCCTCGTCCTAGTCATCGTCCTCGTCTTTGGCCTCGTCCTCGTCCTAGTCCTCGCCCTCCCCCTCCCCTTCACCATCCTTCCCCTCGTCGTCGTCCTCCTCCTCCTCCTCCTCCTCCTCCTCCTCCTCCTCCTCCTCCTCTCCCCTCCACCTCCTCCTTCTCCTCCTCCTCCTCCTCCTCCTCCTCATCCTCCTCTCCCCTCCTCCTCCTCGTTCTCCTCCTCCTCCTCCTCCTCCACCTCCTCCTCTTCCTCCTCCTCCTCCTCCTCCTCCTCCTCCTCCTCCTCCTCCTCCATCTCCTGATCCTCCTCCTCCCGAGCGCACTCCCCTGGAAAGACCGAGTCCCGCCGCGTGCGGGCGTCCTGTGAGCTGCATCTAGTGCAGCACCTCGAAAATGGGCCAGGCTTTCAAGCCTGGAGGTGAACGTCCTTGCGCTAACCTCTGAATTGCCTTCCTCCCCCCTTCTGTGGGAGGTGCACAGACTGACTTCAACTTACTGCGGGCCCTAATGGTCCATCCCCCGCAACGACTGCACCAGCAAATGCCGTTGGTAACTTGCAAATGGGGATGGTGGGACGGGTGCAATGCCAAAACGTGGGGCCGACAAGGTTTCTTTAACCAAGTGGGCATTCTAATGTTGACACTACCTTGCTTCTTACACCTAAGACAGGCTATGTTATACTCGGGGGGCCACAGGGGTAGCTAAAAGACAGTGGGAGGTATTCTGAAGGGCATCCTGGAGGGCCTGTACACTTCTAAGGGCTCTCACTCTCCTACGCTCCTCCTTCGACTCCTCGTCCTCCTGGGGGAACTGGCCCTTGAGTTCCCAGTAGTGGGTCTGGATTGCCGAGAGACGGTCGCAAATCATGTTTGCGTGGATGTCTGCCCCTTGAATCTGGCGGACCAAAGCGGGCGGTACGCTCCGTCGACGGGCAGCGCAACTGGCAATGTCATCCACTTGCTCATTCATGTAGAGCGTCCAGGGCGGCTCGTTGGCTGCCTCCTCCTCCGTCGGGTGACCTTTGGCCTTCTGGAAAAATAGCTGCGCCGCACGGGCTGATGCATACGTCCAGAACTTCCCCCAAGCCAGGGGGTTACGAGCGTGTCGGGCCCTGGGTCCTTTCAAGAAGCCTTTGATGACGTAGAGGCAATCGGTGACGACGACAAGGGGTCCTCCTGTGGCTTGGAGAAGGTTGATGACAGCGGCGAGTTCAGCGAGGGGAACTGACTGCTGGCCTCGGGTCCCTCCTGAGAGTGAGCCGATGAACTGCAAAGAGGATGTCCAAAGGGCGGCTCCCCAGCCGCAGACTCGGAGGCGTGCATCCATGGTGTGCTCCCCTCCGCTCCCGTCGGTGGCCCCGATGAGGACGTTTGTGTGGCTGAGCTTGTCGTGCTGTTGAAAAACTCCTGTTTTGAGGATGTCATCGTCTAAGGACATGATGTGTTGGTGGACTGCTTGTAGGGCCCATTTAGCAGGTGCGATCCCTCGGAGCCAGAGACATGCATTCTGGGGGCACTCCTGGACTGCTTGATGGACTGAACCTTGGGTCTTCTGGATGGCCTCTGAACCAAACGAGGGGAGCTCGGGGCAGGTCCAGAACTCGTGAAGGTCGTCCGCATCCGCCTGACCACAAAGTAGGCAGTCGGCGTGGTCCTGGAGCCCTGCTTCAAATCTGCGCTCTTCACTCCAGCACTTGGAACAGGCCACTGCGGATAAGGCGGAAGGGGTAGGAGGCGAGCCTGGTGAGGTACTCTTCTTTGGTGGCCCTCTGGTCCCTGGTGAGCTCCTCCTCCTCCATCTTCTTCCTCTGCTTCCTGATGGCTGCTGCATTCCTGCTGGGGTAGAGCCTCATTGCTGTGATGTCTCCTCCTTCCTCCAACCCTGCGGAATTGCGGTTCTTGTGGCAATTGAGGCTCCAGGGGCGCATGGAGAGGAGGAACTGCATGTGATAGAGGAAGCGCTGCTGCTGGCCCCAGCTGAGCGGCTTCACACTGAAAACCTGGCCTGAGGGGCCCGACCACTGCCAGGCAATGGTGGGCTCCAAACCTACGTCGTAAAGAGTGGCGATGATCGCCGACAGGTGCGACTTCACGCGAAGCCACCGATACTGCGAGCGAAGCTTGTCTCGTAGCGGGGGCCATGCTCTTTGGATTCCTCCCAGGAGGCCCAGCTCGTTATTGATGAATCTGAACCAAGTCTGGAATAGGTTTTCCCTGGGGGTTTTTGCGGGGTCGACTTCTGCGGGTCCTGCTTTGAGTGTGTGGAGTCCAGTAGTGAGGCAAGCTCCTGACTTAGATACTCCAAAAGCAGATGCGGTCTGGCGGCGCAGAAAAAACACTTCTGACGGTGAGGTCCCGTGACCTTGCATGCCCCATAACATCTGGGACTGCGCTCCTGTGCGATAAAGGGAACGTGCCTTGGTCGTTGTCCTGGCCAGCTTCTTGATGTTCCTTGCCCTGAGGAGGAGTCCTAGGGTGAGACGTTTCCGGCGAACCTTGAGGATCCGACGACGTCCCACGGAGGCATCCATCCCGAGGTCCCTGGTGTGACTGAGGGGCTTGATGCGGATCCCGCGGTCCTGGAGGGTGCCCGCGACGGCCTTGCTGAGGTCCAGGGAGCTAGCCAGAACGACTGACTTATCCGAGAGACGGCAGCCTAGTTCTGCGAGTCCTTGGCAGAGGTTCATGATGCAACTGGGGAAGGTCTCCTTCAACATGTCGGGGCTGCCGACCATCCGAATTCTTATGTCATCGACCCATGTCCTGCTGGTGGGCCTAGGGATCTGGTAGTGGGCCCTCTCGAGTACCTCATAGAGTAGGGCCCTGGTCCAGTGTACACTCTGTCCACATCCTTGAAGTATAGGCTTGAGTGGCGTTAACGGATTGCTGACCCCGATAGACGTGGTGAGGACCCTGACGGCTGTGTGGACCAGGACCCCCAGGGAGAGCGGGACCACGGGGTAGCCTAACTGCAGCTTCTTCTGGGAGAGCTTCTGGATATCTATGGTGTCAAAAAACTTTTCTAGGTCGAGCACGCCCTCGATAATGCTGGCCTGGAGTCTCCCTCCGATCTCGGCGAAAACCTCGCTGAGCAGAGCGGCCTGTGGACAATCACTACCTTTGATGGCTGCATCCCGGAAACCATCCCAGGATGATATCCGACCTTTGAAGAGCCTCACGGTGACCCGATCGGGCGCATTAGTGAGGGCGACGGGTCGGTCGCTGATTTCCGTCTTGGGCTTGAGGGCCACGAGGTGTATTAGACATTGGGCTGGATACTGCTGCAGCCTACAAATATCATTGATTGTATCTGTTAGGATCTCCAATCCTGCTTCTGGTAGTCGGCGGAGATCTGCGGTACGCCACTGGTCGGTGCCAGGCGCAGAGCTGGCAGGGAAAGACTTAAGCGCGGCTGCTACCTGGGTAGGCGTGAACTGGTCGTCTTGATCCCAAGAGTCCCGTGCCTGCTGCCTGATCTTTTGAATCCATTGAGCCTCGGGGGGGGACCTCCAAGGGGTTTCCCTCTTGGTCCCAGTACTTCATCCAAAACTCGCCCTTGTGACCTAAGATCTGCATGGGGTCCGTGACTATGTTGTCATTGGCATCTGTGAAGATATCGTTGTCCTCCTCGGGGGTAGGGCCTGGGATCTTCGTGATATGGTGGGCGCCGCCGCCGCCGCGGGCGAGGGGGTCCTCGAGCCACGACTGGAAGGCAGCGTCCTGCTGCCGTAAAGCCTCTTTCTCATAAAACTGGACTGTAACTTCTAGCTGGAAGAGGGCGTCTTCGAGTTGGTCCTCCTGGAGGTTCCCGAGGAGGTACTTCTTGATCGGGTCCCGGAAATCCTGAAGGGTCCCAGGGGGGCCATGGTAGGCCTTGATGGGCAATGTCGTTGATGTACCCTTGGAGTCTCTGGAAACATCCTGAGCGGGGCTTAACCTTGCGGAGCTGGTCTCTCTCCTTGGCCCTTTGCTGGAGTACTCCCCCTTGATGACTGGCAGGGTGTAGGCGTTGCTGGAAGGGAGTGGGAGGGCAGATGCCTTTCCACTCGCACTGGAAACCTTCAGCTCGCCCAAAACTCTGTGGGCAGCTCGGCGGGCTCCCAAGACACCACCCCTCCAGAGCCTGACTAAGACGAGCGTACTGGTGGGTCAGGTCGGGGGAGGAGTGGGCGGCGGCAAAGGGGTGAGAGACCTCTGGCGGACCTTGCCAGTCCAGTTGGGCCTGCTCCCAGTAGTGATGCCACGGTGCCGCGGGAGCCGCTGGCGGTTGGAGCGAGGCTGCTCGCTTTTGAAACCAACCCTGCCTGATCATGATCTCTATCTGGAAGGTCGCCCGCAAGCCGATGCGCGGCTTCCAGGGGCTGGTGAGGTCGGCCTCTACCTTGAAATATTCTCCAAAGAAACTGCTGATGATGAAGAAATCGATGAGCCTAACTCCCGAGCATGTACTGTGGACCTCTGGAGCCTTGATGGTGCCCTCGATCCTGGAGACCCATGGGTTCCCGTTGGTGAGCTCCTCAGGGGTCATGTTGAAATCCCCTCCGATGACGAAAGTGAGCTTGAGCTGCTTGAGGAAGATGGTGATCTCTCGGGCCACCTTGTTGTTGAAAGCATTGTAGCCTACTCCCGACTGTAAGTAGACTGAGATGGGAACTATGTTGCGCTGACCGAGACGGACTATACAGGCGGTCCAATTAGTCCCTCCCGCTAATGGTTTGGCCTGCCCCTTTCCGTTCATGATGCGCGCATGCGGTTGAAACTGCTTTGACACGAAAAGCCCCACTCCGCCTGAACTGCCTGCGGGAGTGTGAGCTGCTGGGCACTGATAACACTTGTAGCCAAGCTTCCCCATGAACTTCCTAGCTTCTCCCAGGCGCCCTGAAACCAGATGCGTCTCCCCTAGCACGATGATTCCTGGAAGCCCAAAACTCGAAGCTTGAAAATAATCCTTGGCTTTCTTGTTCAAATTAGTGATATTGGCATGGTAGATGGTGAGACTGTCATGAGCCCCTGGGGGGGGGGGGGGGCGGGTGCGTCGTGGCCGAGCGCCACGCTCACCTGGACCCGTCCCGCCCCCTGGCCCCTGCTGCAGGGCGCGGGCAACTGCGGCTGCGGGGCTTCTGCTCATGCGTCCTGCCGCCTCCTGCAAGATCACGCCCACGGGCTGGGTCATCTCCTGCTGCGGCTGCGGCACCATGAGCACGACGGGGTGGTACTGTGGGTGGTGGGGCTGCTGCCTTGGGCTTGGCCTTCTTGACCTTGGCCTTCGGGAGCGAGCCTTGGACCTTCTCGAGGTCCTCGAAGAACTGCTTGGCCGCGTTGCCCTCCTCCCCTCCATGCCTTGGACGAACTTGAGGAGCTCGACTGGCACTTTGGGCAGTTGGATGGCTGGTCCTTCTTCGGTATCCTCCTCCATGGGGGCCCCTCCACCCCAGCCGCGGGTAGCCTCGACGCTGGCGGCTTCGAAGGTGGAGCGGGCCTTCGCGAGCTCCTCGCCTGTGGCGTCGAAATCATCCTGCGCGGCGGAGATCTTGGCCTCCAGGTCGGCGATGGTCTCCTTGAGGTTCTCCTGCTTCTTCTCGAGGCGCCTCACCTCGTGCAGAGCTGTGGTGGCTGCAGCGGCTGGTGGCTTCCTCGGCGACTGGATCAGGCCCTGCATCTTCTTGCAAGCCTCGGTCCCCAGGTCGTCCTTCTGCTCGGGTGTGAGCTTCGCGAGGAGGAGTGAAAGGATCTCTTTCATCTCGGATGGCTTCTCCTGCTGCTCTCTGTCTTTGCCACTGGGGCCTGAGCAGCCGTCGGTGTCCTGGTTCTTGCCCATTGGGAGGACGAACGGCTGCCCGCTGAGGCAGTACATCTTTTTTCGCGCCTTGTTCAGATATTGCCATTCTCCACAACTTGAGCAGACACAATACTGACGTCGGCGCTGCTGCTGCTGCTGGTAGGACTGCTGGTAGGCCCACCACGAGTTGCCTCCCATTGCTGCTGGAGTGTCGGTGTGGGTCTGTCCGACGGGAGATTGGAAAGCCACTGCTGGCAGAATGCACTTCGAGCCCGTGCTGCGGGGCTCTCAGCCCCCTTAGAGCCCGTTCGGGTTCTAAAAGAGCCTTGAGC